TGTGTAACTGGTTCTTACCCTTTCTTCCGCAGATCAAGGAGGAGGCACTGGCCTGCCGCGAGACAGCCGCGCTGTTCGAGATGTCGTACTTCGGCAAGCTCTACCTCACGGGCCCGGACGCGCAGGCTGCAGCCGACTACGTGTTCACGGCCAACAGCCGCAAGCCCATGGGCAGCACCGTCTACACCTGCATTCTCAACAAGCGCGGCAAGGTGGAGGGCGACCTGACCGTCAGCGTCATCGAGACGGGCCAGGGAAGCCCCGCGGACCCCATCATCAGGGTGAGCACCTCGAGGACCCTAGCGGCCAACCGCCCTATGAACAAGTTTAGTTACTTTAGGAGCGAGCTTATTTGCTTACCTGCCTGTGTCTCCCGCCCGCACAGGGACGCGGCTTCTACGTGGTGTCTGGAGGCGCCACCTCGCAGCACACGCACGCGCACGTCATCCAGGCCCTGCACGAGCGCGGCTTCCGCGTCGACGTGTCCGACATGACGAACCGCATCGGCGTCCTCTCGGTGCAGGGCCCGAACAGCCGTGAGCTGCTGCAGGGCCTCGTCGACGTGGACCTGGACGACGGCTCGTTCCCCATGTCGACGACGCAGATGGTGAAGATCGCCGGGCACCGGGTGCGCGCCATCCGCCTGTCGTTTGTCGGCGAGCTCGGCTGGGAACTTCACATCCCCGTCGAGTCGTGCAAGGCCGTGTACAAGGCCGTGCGCGACGCCGGGCAGCGCTACGACCTGCGCATGGCCGGGTACCGCGCCATGTACGCCCTGTCGGCCGAGAAGGGGTACCACCTGTGGCACTCGGACCTCCGCGCGGACGACAGCCCGCTCGAGGCCAACCTGGGCTTCACGTGCAGGGCCAGCGGCGACTACCAGGGCCGGCAGGCCGTCGAGGCTGACCGCAAGCAGGGCCTCAAGAAGAAGCTGGCCTTCTTCACCCTCAACGAGTGAGTATTGGTGGAGAGGGAGCTGCAGTATGGAACGGGAGCAATAAGTTTTAGTCAATACCGTCGTGTTGAACTTGCAGCAAAGTGCGTCTGAACGGACTCGAAGCCATTCTGCGGAACGACCAGGTAGTGGGTTATCTGAGGCGAGGTGACTACGGATTCGCACTGGACTGCCCTATTGGTACAGGGTAAGTGCACACATTAGGGTGTTTTGTTTTTAAAATAATATATTAGCTACGGGCTCTTGCCTTTTTTAACGATACATTACTTTTTTTTATTTTTTTACTAACTAGCTACGTGAAGCACCCCGAGGGCGATAATGTGACTGACGAGTTCCTCAAGGAAGGGAGGTACCAGCTGGAAGTGATGGGGCAGATGCACGACGCCACCCTCCATCTGCGAAGTCCCTTCGACCCGGAGAACAACCGCCTCAGAGGCATTTACGATGTGTCCGTCACCGCACGTCAGTAGCTGCCCAACCCTTTCCCCGAGTAACACGACTGAATTGGAGATTTCGTTTAGAAGAACGAGTCTGCCACTCAGAAAACTTACTAGACAGGCCGACCGGCCAGTCGCCTTCATTTTCGTTGTTCAATGTCAAGTGACGACAGTCTGAGCACCCTGGATTTTGCCTACCGACGTTTTAAAGGTGGATTGATAATTGATTTGCATTAGTTGTTGAAACAGTGTCAGGATCAAACTGCGGAAATCGCTCACGTATTATTACATGTGTAGTTTTCTTCTTTGTATATAGATTGAAGGCTAAATGTCTTCAATATGTACAGTATTTTCATAAGAGAATATGGCTGTGCTCAGGAAAACAAAGTAACTTGCAGAAACTAGTCAGCAAGGTACTGCAATTCAAAGACTGTGATTAAAGCCTGGGTAATTTTATATGTGTATGTATATAATAAATATGGTAATTTTACTTCCGTGACATTGCTTTGTTTTCGACAGCCTTTTTCAACGGCTAAATTCAACAAGAAACTTTATAACTACCTTCGAAGAAATTTTGCGAGTTTTTTGCTTTTTTGTAAGGAATATCAAAATCATATTATCAGACATATGGGTTGAAAATATCTTCAAGTTAATTTACTGAACTGATTTTGTCAACAATTAAAATAAAAATCGTAATAGAGAGCTAGAGTCACAGTGCGCACAAGTTAGCATAAATA